GCTCTCATTGTGCTTTTAGCCAGGCTGTTGTTTTCACGACAGGAACATTTGCATCATTCAAGTATTTGAGCGATTTTGTCTTTCGTGTCCCAGCATAGAATTTATAATAAGCAGCATTTTTAATTACTTTGGCCAAAATGTTGTCTAAGTCATTCGTTCCTCTGAGACTGCCTGTTTCCAGCAGCATGTGTGCACATGTGGTGCACTCATCGTCTATGCTGTGATGTATAAGCTAAGAGCACTAAAACATAACCAATACATTTTCAGAATAATGTCACACTTTTTAAAAACTAAACAACTGATTCAAAAATGAAGCCAAGAAAATAAAATGCAATCCTGAATTTTAGTTATTTTTTAGGTTACTTGTCAGGAGTGTTGTTCTGTGTTTTGTTTTCCATTTAAACTGATGGATCAGTGTTGCGTGGCCAATGATGCCAATTTTTTGATATCAGGGAAGTCTATGGCCAATTTATGACATACATGTAGATATGTTTGTGGTTCATAATTGCATCTGTTTATTATTCATATATCAAAAAGAAAAAAATTGTGTAGGTCTTCTGGATGGGTTCTTCTCTAATGAAACGTTTCATCTCTTCTCCAAGAGACTTCTTCAGTCTGAGAGTTTCAGGCAAAATTCAGGCTTTTAAGCCCAGCCTCCATGTGACTGATACTCACATCACATGTCTATCGTTGACACCTAATTAACACTTATTGTTAACAGGGGGTGGAGTGACACTGGCTATAGCCGCGCTGTAGGAGGGGGGCAACTGAAAATGGAGGCCTCCACCTCTGTTTAATGATGGACGGTCTTTCTTCACAAAAATGGCTTCTTTTACTCCTCTCTCAAACCAACGTTCCTCTCTATCAAGAATGAGAACATCCTCATCTCTGAAAGAGTGACCGCTGGCCTGTAAATGAGTGAAAACTGCAGAGTTCTGGCCATTAGATGTAGCTCGTCTGTGTTGGGACATTCTTTTGAACAGTGGCTGCTTTGTTTCCCCGATGTGTAACTGGTCGCAGTCCTCCTGGCACTTAACAGCATATACAACATTGCTCTGTTTGTGCCAGGGCACCGGATCTTTGGGGTGAACCAGCCTTTGCCGCAATGTGTTTTGGGGTTTGAAAGCCACTGGGACATCATGTTTAGAAAATAAACGTCTCAGTTTCTCCGAAACACCGCAACATACAGAATAACCACTGGTTTGGGTCTGGGTTTGGGCTCTTCATTTTCACCTGAAGGTTGCATGGAATCCTGTCTGTGTTTCCTGTCTGCTTTCAGGAAAGCCCAGTCAGGATAACCACACTGCTCCAGGGCCTGTCGTGTGTGTGATTTCTCTTTCTCCCTGGCTCCTGGGTTTGTAGGGACACTGTCTGCTCTGTGGTACAGAGTCCTGATCACTCCTAACTTGTGTTCCAGTGGGTGGTGGGAGTCAAAACGAAAATATTGGTCTGTGTGGGTGGGCTTACGATATACGCCAGTTTCCAACCGTCCTCCATCCGAAACTGAGACATCGCAATCCAGGAACGCCAACCTGACGAGCTACATCTAATGGCCAGAACTCTGCAGTTTTCATTCATTTACAGGCCACCAGTCACTCTTTCAGAGATGAGGATGTTCTCATTCTTGATAGYGAGGAACGTTGGTTTGAGAGAGGAGTAAAAGAAGCCATTTTAGTGAAGAAAGACCGTCCATCATTAAACAGAGGTGGTGGCCTCCATTTTCAGTTGTCCCCCTCCTACAGCGCAGCTATTGCCAGTATCACTCCACCCCCTGTTAACAATAAGTGTTAATTAGGTGTCACCGATAGCCATGTGATGTGAGTATCAGTCACATGGAGGCAGGGCTTAAAAGCCTGAATTTTGCCTGAAACTCTCAGACTGAAGAAGTCTCTTGGAAGAGAGACGAAATGTTTCATTAGAGAAGAACCCGTCCAGAAGACCTATACAATTTTTTTCTTTTTGATTTTTTACCTGGATTACTGAGATGCATCAGGACATTATTCAAATACATTAAAAGATTTTGAAAATAAATAAGAAATGTCCTGTAATTTAGCCTCAAATGTGATTACCAGTCAGTAAACACGGATTATAGATGGCTTGGCTTTAAATACAGTTTTGAGGGTAAAGGTACAGTATTTCATTTTCTAAAAGTAACATTTCCATTTACCTACTCAAATAAACATCTAAAAGCAAGAAACAAATCTTGCAATTTTTAATGGCAGATATGACATTTTTCTTTTAAATGTTAGCCTAAAATAACTTTTTTTAGGTTTGTCAGTAAAGTACCCAACAAAGCACTTTACAACAGAATGTGTGTTGACAAAAGGATGTAAGGTGAAAAGTAAGGGCATTTTCACATCTGGTAGTCTTGTAGACTCTGATTGGGAACAAAACTTGCAACATTTGTTAAATTTTCAGCTGGTACGATTCACTTTCACACTGCACTGTGTCAAACAAACAACACCCTTTGAGCAACCTGTTCACCCCCTTGCCTGTGGTGGCACTGCACCAAGAATTGGTGAAGGAAATGACACAAAAACCTCTGATGAAGACACTGGGAGCAATTTTCTTCCTCACAAAATATGGGGGTGGCATCATATTTAACTGGTTGAAGGATTTTTATTTTATTATTATTTTTTTTGTCTTTGGTAAATGTGTCAAACGTACACTCATACAATGGGCTCAGCATGAGAGGAAGATGAGGCAGCACCATGGAGAATGTTTTTCACACATGATGGCTGAGATGAAGTGGCGTGCACAGAGCGCATCCAACTTCATGGCAGTGATGTCCACCTTACACAGACATGAGTAACTTTATCATTATTATTACTCAGAATGCCCTGCACTGGACCACTGTGGACCACTTGGCATTCATATATGCAGTCGAACCACACCAGAGTTTGCTTCGACCGAGCCGAGATCTAGAGTTCACTTTTTTGGTCCACATCAGAGTTCGATTTTTATTCAAACCTCCCTAAACCAAACTTTCTAGGCAAACAAACCAGTGTTTAATTAACATAAACGAAACAGGGCTGGTGTGAATGTATCCTGACACTCTGGTATCAGACCTGTCTTTTAACCTGCTTAGTAGACTCATGTGCAATTGATGTTAATAAATAAAAAAAGGCTAATCATCTGACTGATGGAATAATCTGACTCCATGGCCACTTCCACGCTGCATTCAAGAAATTGTGTTTTAATTTAAGACACAAACGTACAACAATAGAACACATTGTTTTCAACACGAATCTTGTTGTGACTCAGCAGATCCTGTGATGCCATCTTCACATTTGAACATCCTCACTGATGTGGCATCAAGCTGCCTCTCTTTGTATGAACACAAAGGCAAACAGTGGTTTATTTGCAGTAACTGATGTTTTCCAGGCATTAATGCCTGCTGTATCTCCAAGTAGTCTAAATGACTTGGCATATGTTGTTGGCTGAAGATATTTGTCTTTGAGATGCGTATCTGAAATCATTCTCATGCTGGAAAATGAATGTAAGACCAGTCAGATGTTACCCTGAAGATTTTGCGTGGTGGATGGTGATCAAAACATCTGTGTGTTGGAAGTGTTTGCACAGTACCTCACACAGTGTTCATATGAGAATGAAAAACATCTGGAGAAATACGCTCTGGATACAGCCTGAGGCCTCAGTGAACACCTGCTGTTTCCGTCTCCAGTTTCTTGTACTCTTAATCGTCATATCTCAATCTGTGTTATTTGCATAAGCACATTGGTTTTCCTCAATATGACAGCAAAACAGAAAGAAGATAAAAGCAGAAACAGAAGGGGAAGAGATCCAGTTCCTTCAGGCTATGTTATTAGAGGTATTGACCAGGCTTGCTGGTTTCTATCAGCTCTCCTTCTCTGTCAATTTGGAGAAATCTGAGCCATGGAGTGGCTTGAGAGCAGCAACACACACACTGGGCTCTCGCTGCTTTGAGTGTGTTTTGTGTGCATTGCACGAGCATAAATGAATGAATATCTGCTCAGTAAATAGCCTGTGGATACAGCTATGTAGAGTGGGTGCTTGTGTGATGTGTGGGCTGTTTTTTTTTCCTTGTTGATGCTTTTGGCACAAAACCTCTTGACACAAAGGCTAAGAGCCATCACTACCTTCTTCCTGTTGTTTGCCATCATCCCAACAATGAAACACATGCTCTGGTTTGTACTATTTTCCTAAAGCACACTAGGGAAAAAAAGAAAGAATTTCAGGTTGAGTTCAGGTTTCCTTTCCTTTGCGATTGTTTTTCTCTCAACAAAACTCCTGTTGCAACATCACAGCAGCTCTGTTATCTTTACGTTTCATCAAGCAGGTTGGAAATCAGAGTCTTTAAGATGTATAATCTTATCAAACGCCTTGATAAGACACACTTTTGATTATTTAAGTGTGAGAAACTATGTGCTTATAGCTGACCCCAAATGGTCATGTTGGAGTAAAGGAGCAGCTGTCAGAGTGTTTTTGTGAGCCTGTAGACATGTCTGTGGCAAAAAGTGAAATGAAAAGGGTAAATGCAATGTGATTGGTACCTGTGGGTAAAAAAAAACAGTTTTCAATACAGTAGCTGAGTGCAGCCAGTCAGTACTGGGCTGTTGTGTGTAATAGCTATGATGCCTTCAGGCACAAAGTTCAGAAGAAAACAACCCTGTTGGAACTCCACTACCTTCACTTTTGGATGCCCACAAACACATGTATCTCCACCCTCAAAAGATACACACATAAAAGAAATGGTAGCACAAATTTGCCACTCTTTCTCTCTAGTGAGCACCCACTGACCAAGACTTTTCTGCAGATAAGATTGCTGGCAGATTGAATAGGCCAAGCAGTACCAGTTGAAATAGTTTAAGCAATTTTTTGTGCATATTTTTTATCAGACAAAATACGATCATAAAGGGCTTGCAACATTTCTGATGACAGACAACATACTTTAAAGTATAATTCCTAATGTTTCCTCAAAAACTGCAGTACACAAATGATTATTCTTTTTTTTAACTCACCAGAGTTATCATCAACCCTCTCCTCCACAGTGTGCTCTTTTTGGTGGACCCACTCGCTGTTGCACTTAAAGTAGATCTGTGTAGCGGGCGTGGCCTTGCAGTACAGGTTCACTGGCTTGTTCTTGACTATGTAGGCCTCCTCAGGTTCCATCAAAAACACTGGCAGTGGCTCCGGAGGGTCTGAGGGGAAGGTTTCTGGCAGCTCACTGAGACCAATGAAGTCATCATCAACTGGAAAGAGACAAACAGTGTCATGTGAGGAGAAAAGGATGGACAGAGCTGAAAAAAAAAAACCAACAGAAGAAACAGCCTCAAACAAAAATAAAAGGAGGGTTTTGGTAGAATAATAAGCAGGCAAGAGAGTCTTTGCATGAGATTATCCATTTGCGTAGCACTCAGTAAAATCCCTATCATTTGATATTTTGGAATGTTTACACAAGTGTATTTTGGAGTGTAGGAAATTCTGGGATTCTTCTCAAGCAGCTAGGCTGCGCAGATTTACAAAAAACGGTCCTGGAATGGTCAAACCACAATCAGCTACTGCTGAGCAACGAGTCTGTGAGAGCCAATGACAAGAAACCAAGTTCAGTGGTCTGACTCAGAGGAACTAATGTTATAAGCTCTTCTAGCTGTGCCTCCCCCATTTTCTTTTCTCTTCTTCTCTTTGCCACTCTCTGCCACACACACACACACACACACACACACACACACACACACACACACACACACACACACACACACACACACACACACATACTG